GCCGTACCCCCGTTCACCGTTCACGGTTTTTTTTCCCGGAGTCGGTCATAGAGTTCACGCCGTTCACGATACGGGAGTTCATGGAGTTCACGGAGAGCGTTTTTTTTTTTTTTTTTTTTTTTTTTTGGTTGAGGGGTGTATGTTTTTTTTTTTAAAGGAGGGGAGGAGACATCGAAGGGTAACTCCGTATAATTTTTTCAAATTTGTTTTTTCACGAATAATATTTTTTTTAATTGAAAACGAAAAAAAAAAAATCCACCAACCAAAATAAGCATTTTCTTTTGCTATTTCGCAGGTTATTTCAATTTTGTTCTTTTTTTTCAATGTCACCACGCTGTGGGGCTTGAGGTGAATGTACCTGGGGGAGCCTAAAAAAAAAAAAAAAAAAAAAACACCACTCTTTAGTGGTCGGCCCATTCACCGTGAACGGCCGTACACAAAAAAAACACCAAATGAACGGTCGGTCACGTTCAAGTGACAGGTGCCGGTCACGTTCACGGGTCCGGCACTGGTATATGGTCCTTGGATCTCCTCTCTCTGTGGTTGTATGGGGAATGGCCGTCTGTGTTTGTCTGTGTAATGGATGTGGTTTTTGCAGGAAAGTAACCCCTCTGCTGAGCCGGTTGAGTGGCAACGGCGAAAAAGTTTTAGGGGAGCCACACCCCTCCTGCGGTTTTGATCATCCCATGAAGTCCAAACCGGGCCCCCACTTGCTTACTCCCAGACGTTCTTCCATATCGGACTTCGCTGCTCGCTGGCTTGGCTTAGCTCCATTTTTCTAATTGTAATTACTTAAGTTGATTTTTTAGATTTCTTCCATTGCTCGGATACCGGAATTTTTGTTCAATGGCAAATGGCTATTGGACTAAGTGACTAGTTTCTCTGTGATGAGCATTTAATATGGTTTTGCATATATCTCCCCTTGCCCCTTTCTGGTTTTTGTCACATCATCCCATTTGACCTCCTGTGGTACGTAAAGTAACAAGTATCCCTCGTCACCTATCTCTGGGACAGGTGATGCTTGCTACTTGCTACTTTACCATTCACACCCACATCGGTTGTGAACAGTATTAGTTCTACCCTCACCTGCCCTAATGTTTTTGTATATCTATGTATCATCAATATTATGGTATGACATCAACACCCATGGATGCAACCACTTCGTCATTTTTGTATTGTTGGGGGATACTTGGCTTGGTGGCTGTGGAAAACGGTATGATTGGGACATGACCGGACCTGGCGTATCACCGTAATGTTGGAGTGCATGACGTTTCTCATCATGGGATTATCTGAACACACACACTTGCGCGGGGTTTGAAATCCCATTTTTTCGTTTTTTTTCTTTTATCGTATGATTGATTGATTGATTGGTGGGGGAGGGGTCGCCC